AGTAACATTTTAGTTATGGCATACAACAGCAAGTTTCAAAGTGCAAGTGCATGGATTCATTTCAATCTCAAATGAATTTTATGATGCTAAAATAAATCTCTGATGGATGGTTTAGGCGTGAATATTGTTTGTTGTTCATGGAGAAACAAATTTCTATTTGTGACAATATGTATTTATTCATATTCCCATGCATATTGCACATGAATGGGGTGGACAAATATTCATCTAGCAACATGTGGATTAGATATTTTGTTACTTGAATTGGGATTGATTATCAATTTAATGCAAAAGCATTTAAATGATTGTTAATACAGAATTTGTATGTCCATAAAGAGCAATTTAGGTACAGAATTTTAGTACTGTAGCAGTAGTGCATGCTAGTGGTTGTCAGAAGCATCACTGATTAATTAAATGTATGTGGTATGCTTCTGTTTTTATTATCCTTCTGTTATCAGAGTTTTTCCTTCTTAAACCAGTCTTTATTTGTAATTGGGATTATTCGGCATGGTGTTGGTATAATTGATCCTATTTAGGGCCTTATCTCTTCCAAATCTGTCATTGATGGAAAATGTGCCCTTATTTATTCACCCTTTTGCAATAGAAAAAAATTTTGATATCTTCTCACTGAAATCAGGGACTTGTTGAATGGCATAAAATGTTTGTCACTGTATTTTTTTATGACATTTTACACCTTTTTAAATATTAAAATTGGTGTGGAATTCATATTATAGCAACTTTGGTATCTGAAAATTTGTGATTACTTGCTAGGAAAATTGCCCTTCTCAATTTGTAGTAGTTTTGTTGCTCCTTTTGGCTAATTATCACCAGAGTATGAGTCATGGTGATTCATCCTTTTGCACCTTGGATGGCATAATACTAATCGTAATTTCAATTTGTTTGTTAGGTCTGAAGGCACAACACTGCTTAAATATAAGATCCCAACACGTGGCCTTCTTGGATTGCGCAATGCTATTTTGACAGCTTCTCGTGGCACAGCTATTTTGAACACGATTTTTGATAGCTATGGACCAGTGGCTGGTGACATTGTTACCCGAGATCAGGGATCATTGGTAATTTTTAACTGTCAGATTGATTTAAATCGCAATTTTTAATTATATGGTCATGTTTAATAGTTCATTTAGCTGCTGGCTGAGGCTCTGGTGGTTATCACTGTTTCCTTACTAGCAGTTATCTTTTAGCAATATTTAATTGCTATGTTTTTGTTGGTTTAGTACTTTGCTTGATGAGGTACATCTGACTTCATAGTCACTTAAACTGACATCCATTTTCCGAGAAAAAATAATCTCTGTCAAGTAATTACATTTTAAATTTTCCTTTTCTTTATGTGCTTTTCCTGTGACTTTTTTGAAGGGTTGCAATTTACTGCCTAAGTCAATGGAACCATATTGAATCCTCTGAGATTGATTTCAGGTTGCCTTTGAGGATGGTACGACCAGTTCTTATGCGCTTGCCAGTTCACAGGAGAGAGGACAGATGTTTGTTGGGCCTGGCATGGAGGTTTATAAAGGTCAAATTGTTGGAATCCATCAGCGGCCTGGGGACTTATCCCTTAATGTTTGCAAGAAAAAGGCTGCAACAAATGTACGTTCATCCAACAAAGATCAATCAGGTAAGAAGCAGCTCTAGTACATTACTCAATCTTCTTCTTTTCTGGTTTTGTTTTATAATTTTATTAACTGGATTAGCTGTTCCATTTTCTGACATGATCAGAGTTCAATTCCTCTGCCTATAAAATCCTAACACACATTTCTTAGCAAAATGCTGTATTGTTTCATTTTATTTAATTTATTACAATAATGAGGTCTTTATTTATCAGGTGACACTTGGATTTGATTAAAAGCATTTGCATAAAGAAAATCTATAAGTTTAGTACAGTTTCAAACTTTTTCTACATATAAGAAAGACTGAACAATTCTCAGAAGAAAAAAAAAAAAAAGATCAAAATGTATAACATGCTAGCTTTTAAGTCATATTTGTGAACATTATTTGCTTTAAAAAATGTAATGAAGATAAAAAATAGTAAAGGAGATTTTGCAAATTAAAATTTGATACCAAAGAAAATTTTACATATTTATAAAATATTGTTGAAAACTAATTATTATATCTCCATATGTGCTTAATCTCCATACTATCTATATGGAAACCTATTATATTTCCTTTTATACTATGATATGGAGTAAGATTTCACTTTTGAGTTTTGAGAAAGGTTGGCCACTTTTGTGTATGTGATTTTGGGTGTTTTTGTGAATATATTTCCCATCTAATTAACAATACAAATCCTAGCAAATGAAGAACCTGTCCTCCTTGACCACGAATCCATTAAGTGGTCAAAATCAGTGATAAGTTCTCTATTTGCATGGAAATAATAGTAAGCAACATGACTACTTGCATATGCCAAAAAAAAAATATTCATTGCATCAATGGTGATATTAATGCTTCGATCTCCAATGTCTGTGGAGCAAAAATTAGGATTAGAGTTTGAAAATTATAATCTAAGAAAGTTGAAGAGAGAAGGAAGCTGGATTGTTGTGTAACTAAGATGAAACAACATTATTCCAAAAAGTGCCATCTTTTTTTTGTTTATTTTAACGAATCTTATGACTTAGGAATAGAATTCACATAAGTGTTCTGTTTTGTTGGAGTTAGACCGCGTCTTTTGCAATTTACATATGAACTAACCAGCCACATGGGACTATGGGAGAGCAAAAGTGGCAAAAGCCACATTGCTCCGAGGATTGGCACCTAGGTGTGGGTCCCTACACTTGTAATCCCTTCCTCCTCGATCTCAAACCTGGTCAAAATCGACATATGAGTTCTCCATTTGCCTGAGGAATAGAAAGCAAGACGAAAGCCTACTTCTATGCCGGCAGAAATATTCACAGCAATTGGGCGACGGCGACGGTAATCCTCCGGCCTCTGATGGCTGTGGAGAAAATTTGGGAGATCCTTTATCTATATGTTTTCCCAAGTATATTGTTTTGTTTATGGCAAATGTCGACCGCTAATTGAGTTCATTAGGTCCTTTGGACTTTGGAGGCTTTGGTTGGGCTTTTTTACTGGGTTCAATCTCTTTAGCAAATGGGTTTGGATCGATTTAACATTTTGCTCTAATGGACTGGACTAAATATAGGCTTTTAATGGACCGCAACAGCTCACGGACCGAGCTTACATCCTTGATTTTAATGGACTAGACAAAAATATGGGCACTTAATCCATGAGTCCAATTACAGAGATTTCGGGCATCCCTCGTTTTTGAGAGCCTTCCTTCGGCTCTCAATCTTATATAATTCTTTATTTTTTTTATTTTAAATTACATAACAAAAAAATCATTTTTTTATTTTTTATCTCACTTAATTTATATATTAAACAACTTAAATTTAAAATTTTTTATTATTAATAAAAAATTATTATTAAATTACTTAAATTATTAATAATCTTAACATATTTTACATGACAATAACTATTTCAACTAAAATTAATTTTTTTTTTGAACAATGAAAAATTGTAAAATTAAAAAATAATTATAATTGCAATAATATAACAATTACAACTTAAACCCTTAGCAAGGTAAGAGTTAGTGGTGTACTTTCATCGGGGCCGTTAATGCTGGCAGGTGCTCCAACTAAAATTACTCGAGTGGTGCAATCGCCATAAATAGGGAGCTTTGAAGTCCTTTAAACGTTAAAGGTGCCAACCGGGTCCAATCACGTGGCTTTGTCCTGCTGCGTGGGTCTCTCGTGTTAATGCTGTTTGATTTTGACAATTATTGAACAAGTTGTGACAGGTAACTTTCAATGGCCCCAATGTTTTAAATTAATCTTTAACTCATTTAATTAATTTTTATTGCCATATTTTTCCCATACCTTTCCCTTCTTCGATGAAACTTTTACATTTCTCCAAATATAATAGTCTCTCGAGAACTAGTTCAACTTTTTTTTTTTTTTTTTTGAAATAGAGAACTAGTTCAACTTTTGTGTACCATTATACGAACGCTAATACACCGAGTCCCTTGAAGTGGTCAGTTAACTGAATTGTTTAAGTAATCACATTTCTCTTTAAAAGTAAATTAATGACATTTTAGTGACATATAGTTTGAATTTTAAATTTAATATTTTTTTTTTGAAAATTAAATATTAATATAATTATCATTTAAAACAATCTCATCAAGTGGCATTTAGCCTAGTGCGTGGTTCACACAAACACAAGCCAATGTTTTTTTATTACGACGAATGTTGAAAACATTGCGACAGACAAGTTTCAATACGCCTATTACTTGAACCGGGTTTTTCGTCCAATAATTCGACTCCAAACCTTAAAATGTTTGAATGAGGTGGTTAGAATTTCGAGTTTCACCACCGTCTTGAAAACTCCCTTCTCACATTTCTTAAATTACACATTGTTCAAAAAAAAAAATACGCCTATTACTTGGAATTAGTTTTTGGCTCATTTAATTAAATTTTAAAATTTTTTAATTTATTTTTTAAAAATATAAGTTAAAAGCATTTTTTTTATAAAATTTATTTTAAAAAATATAAAAATAAATATTAATTTTAATATTATTATCACATAAATAAATTTAATTAAATAATTAATAAATTAAATATTACATTTTATTTTTTAAAATTCCTTAACTTATATTCTTAATATACAAATTAAAAAAACCCCTTAAATTTTTATTAATGTATTTGTCCTTTGCCTTTCTTTTTCATAAATTTTTGCTGGTTCAATTTTTTACTGTGATTATACCATAACTAATGCTCTGGGTCCCATTAAGTGGCTTTTAATTTTAGTGCGTGATAACACGTGTCAACATTGCTTTATTCTGACAGTTGTTGAACACATTGCGGCAAGACAACTTTCAACAGACCAAAAGAAGGAAATTAGTCTTTGATTCATTTAATTAATGTTTACTGATGTATTTTTCCCTTGCCTTCCTCTTTTTCTATAAAAATTTTGCATTCCTCCAATTACATCCCAACTAGTCTCCCAATCATTGATTCAACTTTTAAATGCAATCACACCAACACTAATATACATGAAAGACGAGATAGAACAGATTATATGAAAGACAAGCATGAAAATGCAGAATTAATTATGAAACATATGAAAGGATCTCCTTGTCAGTTTAGAACTTAACCATCACTTCATCGTTCAGGTTGATCCATGCTTCTATTCCATCCCCACTTTTGGTGTCAAAGAAGGCAGCCAAGTTCTCTTTAATCGAGCTGATAGCTGGGACCCTCACCCGAAATCTGAAGCGAAAGCTCATCACATCTCCTTTTCATGACACTTGTAGAGTGCCCGAAGATGGTTTCTTGGAGCTTCTTCAGTACGGAGTCTGCGTTCACTTTCCTTATGGCGTCTCTCACCTTGTTCAGTGTCTCAGCTAAAGCAAATCCATTTTCAGTGTCTAGAAATGGGCTCGGTTCGGTTGCACCTCGTTCGCTAATAATGTTCCCGAAGTAGCTGTTTGGATAGCGGTGGTTCCATCCGTGGACGTAGTTTACAGTATGGATTACATTGTGAAGTTTTCCCTCTTCGGATTTTGTGGGGGGACCAATCTGAATAGTATCATTGGATGAACTGCCGAACATCCAACCTTAAAATGAATGGCCAACCGGAATAACATTATCCCTCCTTGCCACCTCGTCCCTGTCAAATGTCATTATGACTTACATTATCTTAAATATTCTGACACAACAATTAATACAAATTTATAAATCTCTATAAAGTTACAGTACATTATAATGATTCAAGACTGAAAGGGAATCTATCACGTGAAAAGCAACATTTAACTACTATAAATATACTCCCAACCACCACATCTTAGATACATTCATTACACCTTAATTTTTATATTAGAATTGTCTATCCCTCTAAAATTCCCTATGTACTAATTTAAGTGTCGAAATGTTTATCCTAAAATCCAATCTCTGGTCTTATAGATATTCTGGTCTAAGTTGTCATCATAGCTGCTGTGTTATGCCATTTTACAACTGTGCTATTACATGCAAACCACAGATTTATCCTGCATTGCAGCCACAAAACGGCTCCATATGAAGGCAGTTAAGGCCTCAATCCGACTCGAGCGTACCTCATCCTTATTGTACTTGTCCCTGAGTGTCGCCAATGAAGACGCATTTAACGCGAACCTCTTCGTTATGATATTATTCTTTTTAATCAAAGTTGTCGAAGGAATTCCGTTCTTCGGGGGTAATAGAACTACCAAGTCAAAGAAGTTATTATACGGCCGGTATCATCACCGCAGGCTATGGCAGCCCCGGGGTTGATGAACATTATGAACGACTAGGCATTGCCAAGCCGATGGGACATGCGAAAGAAGACAACAACTAGTCCACCGCAGTTGAGAAGAGTGTGAGTTGTACCATGGCTGGTATCTCAGCAGCGTTGAGCTCAAGGGATATGAGTTTATCGTTATTTCGAGGATCTCGATGGTCCAAAATGTCAGAAATTAGCCAGCTTTCGCTTGGATAAAATAAACGTCTTCGTCGTTGCAGTCGACGTAGGTGTTGTCTTCGACCGTACGGATAGAGAATGGTTAAAGCTTGGGGTAAAGATTTTTTCATTTTGGTAAAACATAACAAAGGGCCTAAAAAGGGTGGGCTGGACTGTTCTGGTTTGTTCTAAAAAAGAGGGGTGGACTGTTCTGGTTTGATCGAGAAAGGAGAGTTGGTATTGGTGGAGGAACGGAGGGGGACGATGCTTTGTTGGTTTCTTTCGACTTTGGAGATTATTTGGACATCAAACTTCATGTTTTGAACACTCACAGATGACCCTATATCAGCTGCTTTTAAAAGTTAAAAGAAACAAAAACGAAAATAAGTAGAAGAGGATGGATTTAACAACAATTACACCTGGTTAACTTTTGACAAAAAAAAAAAAAAAAAAAAAAATCACAACTTTTTTTTTTTTTTTTTTTTTTAATTTGGTTGCAAAATTGAAAGCAATAATCCCAATTCATTTACATGCAACTTAAATCTTCATATTTACATATAACTTGAACATGAGGTATTGATATTATATATCTATTGTTTTCTTGACATCTTTTTTTCAGGGTATTCTTATTTATTGCATAAGTAGGTAAAACAAATGATAAATAAACTAACAATCTTTTATATTTTCTTCAAAAACTTAAGCTTAAATAGTTATTATCATCATATTCTCTTAATATATATATATATATATATGTATATATGAATTAGATTTACTTTAACGACCATTAACTACCCATGTGGGATTTTGGAAAAAAAAATACAAAAAGAAAAGAAAAATTGCCAATGTGGGCGTAGAATATTAAATTCTTGAATTATTTAAATGTATTTAAGATAAATGCTCTAACTTTAAATTTGCATCACTAAACTCTACCATATGAATTTTGGGTTTATAGAATATACACTTCCTTTTTTTATGTTAGGAACAGAAAAGAAGAAGAAGAATTTGAAGAAATGTTTATTGTTTTCTTGAATAATACTGTATACACAATGACCTATATATAGGTATTTATAAAGAGAATATTCTAAGGTATAAAGTATATAATTAGAATATTCTAAAGTATAAAATATTTACATTAAGCGTATTTACATCTTAACATCCATCCTCAAACTCAAGTTGGTTTCATGAAAGAAGAGTACGAATGCGTCCACGAAAATGAGCCTTGGTGAAAAGATCTGTTGGTTGATCAGTGGAGCCAATGAAAACCAAATGAACAGTTCCTTGTCCAACATGATGGCGAACAAAGTGAGAATCAACCTCAATGTGTTTAGTGTGTTCATGGAAAACATCATTATGAGTAATCTGTATAGCACTCTGATTGTCACAATAAAAATTAGTAATAGGCGGTTGAGGAACACCTATATCTTCTAGTAGCCAACGTAAGTTAAGTGACTCTGATGTGGTGTCTCCAAGTGCTCAATATTTGACCTCTATGCTAGAACGTGATGGAACTGTCTGTTTCTTACTACGCCAAGAGATTAAGGAATCACCAAGAAAAGACAATATCCAACGATGGATTTATGATCATTAAAGTCTCTAGCCCAATCAGCGTCTGAGTGAGCACGAAGTTCAAGAGATGAGTGAGCAGAAAAGTGAAGTCCATGAAACAATGTTCCATTAACATAGCGAATAATGCGAAGTACTGATGCATAATGAGTGGAGCAAGAAGTAGCCATAAATTGACTAACAATGTGAACTGCATATGCTTTGTTAGGGCATGTTGTGGTAAGATAAACCAGACTACCAATTAATTGCCAATAGCGAGTAGGATCAGAGAGTGGAGAGCCATCCATCGGTGTAAGCTTGACATTAGGCTCAAGAGGTGTGAAAACACTCCTGCTATCACTGAGTTTAGCTTTGGAAACAAGAGTAGAGGCATACTTTACTTGAGAAAGCAGGTAGCCATCATATGAAGAAGTGGCTTCAAGCTCTAGAAAATAGCTTAAAACACCAAGATCTTTCATCTCAAATTTATGACTGAAAGATTGTTTTAACTCCTCAACACCTGCGATATCATCTCCAGTAATAATCATGTCATCAACATAAAGAAGTAAAAGAATCATATCTCAAGCAGTCTTACGAATGAACAGAGCTGTATCATGTGGACTCGAAGTAAAACCCAACTCACTCACAGTAGCACTAAACTTTGCATACCAGGCTCGAGGGGATTGTTTCAACCCGTATAATGCACGTCGTAATCGGCATACCTTGTTTGGAGGATGGTTAAACCTGGGAGGTGGTTTCATATAACCTTCTTCTTCTAGGTCACCATTAAGAAAAACATTTTGCACATCCATTTGAAAAAATTTTCATCTCCGTATAACAACAATAGCAAGCAAACTATGCATAGACGTGAGATGAGTAACTGGAGCAAATGTTTCCTCGTAGTTTATTCCATACTCCTGTGTAAAACCCTTGGCAACCAAGCGTGCCTTATAATACTCCATAAAACCATCAGATCGTGTTTTGATCTTATACACCCATTTACAACCTATTAGAGACTTTTCAGCAAGGAGATCAACTAAATTCCATATATGAGTGTTCTCAAGAGCCTGTAATTCATCTTACATAACTTGTTGCCAAAGAGGGTTAGTAGAGGGTTAATAGAGACCTCTCGATATGATTGAGGCTCATGTAAAGAAGTAATACCAAGAAAACAATAATAATTGCAAAGGTAGTTGGGAAAGCTTCTTACCCGAGTAGAACGACTCGAGGATGGAACAACAAGCTCATTTGGAGACTCACATCTTAACATGTTCTTGCATTTTTTTTTTTATCAACAAAAAGAAATTAATATTAATGCAAACACTCTTTGATTCAATACATTCTATTATATACTTATCATAAAATTATTATTTTTCAATTTAAAATTTAATATGAAAAAGTTTAAAAGTTAAGCTTTGCAAACAACATGGAAGAATTGATTAATTGGCAGTATCTATATTATCTTTCAATAGCTGAACTGGTTAAATATCAGCATGTGTGTCAAATCAATGGGTGTTTGAATCATTTTTCAAAAGAATTATTGCTAAGTTTGTACAAACAATACCTAAAATGCATCCACAATTACAAACATTCAATTCATGAATTTTTATTTTTTATTTTTTGATATGGACCATCCGGTATTCGGAAACTCATTGGACTACCGACTAATCCAAATTCAAAAGAATTATTGTTAAGTTTTTTATTTTTTATTCAATTCATGATTTTTTTTTTTATAAAATAAGTCAACTAGTTGAAATTTTCATAAGAGAGATGAGTAGAGATGAGTAGAGATGAAAAATGAGGATTCTAACCCTAATTAACCATACAAGTGAGGAAGCTTCTTTTTACCAATAATTTTCTCAATTCAGGAACTTACAAACACACACAACTCATAAAAACCATTATATTCATCCTATTTAGAAGTGCCATCCATCCTCCATCAAAAACTTCCTATCTCTTTGGCACATGAATATGAACATAAACACAAACCAGTAAAAGTAAACGCTAACCTCTGATTCCATCCTTTAATCCACTCAAAAAATCTCATTTGTACTAAATCAAACATCCCATTGAGTCCCATACCATCGCTAAAAATTATTTCATTTCCTCATCAACCATAAGGACCACCAAAAAGCTAATTAATAATTAATATCACAGCTCTCCCCTACCAAATTGAAGCGTCCACAGAACCATAAAAAAATAATAAACATAAATCAACAATTTGTTTTTTTTTTTTTGAAATACAGCCTTCATCACCCACCAACCGGCAATTCTCATCAGCAAAGCATAAGATTTTTGGCATGTCATGAACAGATGAGAAGCATTTTCTTTGATACACAAGAATTTTTTGTGCTCAGAAAAGACAAAAATATTGACGAATTTTCTTATATCCTTAATTCTTTAAAATATTACTGTTTTAACTCATCTCGGACTCAAATTTTAAAGCGCATGGCACATGGGAAACATTTCTGTTTTCAGATTGGTCAAACTCTTTATTACTTTACATATTATTTTTTTATAATTAATACTTTTATAATTTTTTTTAATTAACATTTTTTATAATTTAAAATTTATAAAAAAATATATAAATTATTAACAAAATAAGCCTCTTTTCTTCCCTCCAGAACGTAAGTAAACGGAGACAGACCAGCAGAAAGAAATGGATTATGGAGGGAAGTCTCTCCTCACCTCTCTCCTCTTCGATTTTTCGTGTTGGCTGTCTCGTTCATCTTCTTCTGAATCATTCCCATTATTCCCTTTCCATTCCTTTTTCTCCTATAAAAATCTCCCCTTTATTTCATTTCCTAACTTGCCATCAAATTGGGTACGGATTTCGATTCTTTTTTATCTGTGGTATTAATTACCCATTTAGGAAGATCTCCTGAGATTTCAAATTTTTGGCCTTTTTGGATTCATTTAATTCAGGGAAAGTGTTTATTCAATTGGGTATTTGGAGAAAAGTTTTGAAATTTTCATATCTGGATTCCTGAGTTTTCTCTGCAGTTTCCATAAAGGGAAGAAGGGTCTTCTAGAATTTTCCTCAGAAGATCAGATTTTGATCTTTCTGTGCACATTTTTGGGTACAAATCCGGGTGTCTAGATTGCTTTCATCGATTTCTTCTGGCCAAATGATAATGTATATCATATGAACTGAAAGTAAAAACTTACATGTAGCAGTTCTTAAACATCACAGAGTAGCCAGGATTTTGTTGATTTTCATGGGGAATTGCTGTGCGAGACCTTCATCAGCTTCTCAACGTCATGAGAAAAAGAAGAAGGAAGGCAAGGGGAAGCAGAACCCGTCTGCCATTAATTATGATCAGCGCGGCAACGGAGGATACAAGTTGCGCGTCTTGAAGGAGCCAACAGGAAGCGAAATTGAGCAGAGATATAAACTGGGACGCGAGCTTGGCCGAGGAGAATTTGGGATCACCCATCTTTGTACAGACAAGGAAACAGGTGAAAATTTGGCTTGCAAATCAATATCCAAGAATAAGCTGAGGACTGCCGTTGATATAGAAGATGTGAGAAGAGAAGTGGAAATCATGAAGCATTTGCCTTCACACCCAAATATTATGAGCTTGAAAGATACGTATGAGGATGATAACGCTGTGCATTTGGTGATGGAGTTATGTGAGGGAGGTGAATTGTTTGATAGGATTACTGCCAGGGGACGTTACACTGAGAGGGCTGCTGCTGCGGTTATAAAGACCATTGTGGAGGTTGTTCAGGTAAGTTGGATATTTTCTTTTTCTTTAATTTTTTTTTTTTTTAATTTGTAATGGTTGATTTTGTGTCCTGAACTGTATTGGTTTGATTGATCTTGCCAATTCCAGTGTTGATTGGTTTATCTGGTTATGATTTGTTTGTTTGTTTTCAGGTGTTGTTTCCTGCATGTACAAGTAGAGGTGTATAAATTGATATCTTCATTGTTATGTGCTGAAAATTCTATTCATTAGATTATCCAAGGCAACCTGTGAACCTGATTAGTTTAAATTTTGAACTTTGAATTGACTAATGTGAAATGATTAATGAAAGCTTTCGGCTCTATATTCTTGTTTGGAGAGTGATGGCACTTTTAGTGAGAACATAGTTTGCTAGCATTTTGGGTATCAAATTCCAATCAACTAAAGCTTTTACAATTTTCAGCAGGTATTCCTGATCAGGGCTATGCTTTTTCCTACATTCTTCAATGTATTCTAGATCCCTGCCCAGCCACCCTAATAATGTTAGCTTGAGGGAGGAGAAAGCACCCATGTTTAAGTTCTTTCTGATTGGTTTAAACTTTCATCCATTGGTTACTCTCAGGTCCAAGAGTTGATAGAATCTTGCACTTGCCCATTCTTTTATTTTCTTTTAAAAGTATGAAAACTATTGTTTACAGAATGTGTTGTTTCCTGCAACATTTATCAACACTCCACAAAACAATTTGTTTATTTGCCCTAATTATTTCCATTTTTATGTTTACTTTTCTCTTTGATGTTGTCATCTTTCAAAAATTACTATTTTTCTTTCTTAGTTTTCCAGAGTTAATTTTGATTGTCTTTTACATTTAATATCATTTTTTCAGCAATTTAATTGGAATATATTTTCACATTGTCCATTGTTATGTTCTTGTGAGTAGGACCAAACTTTTTTTCTATTAAATTAAATTCATTAAGGTTTCTTTTATGCATCCTGTTTTCTCATTTCAATTAAATTTTACTGTATATGTCTCTTTATGTGCTTCTTGAATGAAAAGTTTCTCTGCAAGCAAGGCTTGACTTTAGACAATAGAAGGTGTCCCTTGTTAATTATTATTAAAATGTGATTAGTGTTGGCTACCACTTACAATCTTTCTTTAGAATATTGGTTTAAACCAAAATGTTTTGCAATTTGCTCTCAGTTATGAGTTTGAGTTATTAATTTATTTATCTTCTGTTACAGTTTTGCCACAAGCATGGAGTGATGCATAGGGATCTCAAACCTGAGAACTTTTTGTTTGCAAACAAGAAGGAAACAGCACCTTTGAAGGCAATTGACTTTGGATTATCAGTGTTCTTTAAGCCTGGTAATGTCATTTCCCATTTGTGGTATCCTCTTTTTCTTTATTTTTCATGTTTGCCCAGTTTTTATTTACTGTTTCCATCCTTCCATGTACACTAACTGATGTTTGAAATTTTTAACTGTTACAGGTGAAAGATTTACCGAGATAGTTGGAAGTCCATACTATATGGCTCCTGAGGTGCTAAAACGAAATTATGGCCCAGAAGTTGATGTCTGGAGTGCTGGTGTGATCCTTTACATCTTACTTTGTGGTGTTCCACCATTTTGGGCAGGTTAGTCTGTATTGATGAGAATCCTTGCCCACTTAACTGGAGTTGTAGCTCCAAAGGCATTCAAATGACACATATGCACATACCAAAACACATAGGAAGCCTCCCCTTTTCCCCATCTCTTAGTAACTTGAAAAGGATAAGAAAGAATAGAAAGTTAAAAACGTGACCTTTGACCTTGTGTGATCTAACTACTTAAACATTCTGCTCTGCCTTTGTGATTTTCACTGTCATACATTCATGAAACCATTTTACATGTCTTCACTTAACTTAGCCTTAATCTGTACTGCTTTTTTTATGGATAATATATGAATTCTAATTGTCCAGAACTTGTCAATTACAATAAAAGCAGCCATGTTGCTGCTACAGAAAGAATCAAACAAACAAACTGTGAAACATGCACACAATACAAATCTTAATTCTTTACAATTGATTCGAGCCCCCATTGACAAGCAACAGTGATAGGCAGTGAAGAGGACTTGGATTGAATGAGCAGAATCTTAGTCCTCACTTCAAACTTGATCTGATGAACAATCTCACTATCTGTCTTGAAAAGCTGTTGATGGAAACGCTGTTACTTTCAATTGTTACACACTTGATCTGATAATCTATACTGCTTTAAATTCCTTATGTTAATAAGTTATTGAAGTTTATGCGCTAATTCTTTTGGTTTTAATTTATCTCATATTTTACATTACCATTGTGTTTGTTGGTCTGTTTTGCCCCTCTAAAGCTTCTTTCTATGCAGATACTGAACAGGGAGTTGCACAAGCAATTATTAGGTCTGTGATTAATTTTAAGAGGGATCCTTGGCCTAAGCTTTCGGAGAATGCAAAAGACCTTGTAACGAAGATGCTTGATCCAGATCCTAACCGTCGGCTTACAGCTCATCAAGTGCTAGGTATTCTTCAGTTCTACATGATAGCTATGTTATTTCTTCATGAAAATTTAATTGTGCATCAAAGTTTTGTTTCCTCATGAAAATTTTTGCAACTCAAAATGTAGCAGAGGTGTAACTGAGCTGTTTCTTGCCTTCTAATTGCAGATCATCCTTGGTTGCAAAATGCAGAGAAGGCTGTGGATGTTTCCTTGGGTGAAACCGTGAAGGCAAGGCTCAAGCAGTTCTCTGTACTGAACAAGCTCAAAAAAAGAGCTTTAAGGGTAATGTTCGAGATCTTTTATTGAAAACTTCTAGTCAAGTCATCCACCAACTAATTTCGGGAAACCTTAATTAACAGGTAATAGCTGAGCATCTATCAGTGGAAGAAGTAGCTGGCATTAAGGAAAAATTCAAAATGATGGACACTGGCAATAAGGGCAAGATTGATACTGATGATCTAAGGGTCGGGTTGCAGAAACTTGGTCAAAATGTTCCCGATGCAGATATTCAGATTCTGATGGAAGCTGTAAGTCTACCTTGAATTCTAGAACCTTGCAGCATGCTTGACCTTGATCTTTGGATTAAAGCCTTTGAATGTGATATGATTCTCAGTTTAGCTTGTTGGTTTATGGTATTTCTTTAATGTATTGTTTTGCTCTTAACTTAGCTGTTAGCTCCTTGCCTCTCAACCTGATTTTATGAGATTTTGCTTATCAACATTATTTTTGCTCTTTTTTTTTTTTTTGATCTGCAACAATTCACACAAGATGAATTAAAATCTTACTTCCACCAAAATTTTTTACAGGGTGATGGTGATAGAGATGGATATCTAGATTACAGAGAGTTTTGTGTCATATCCATTTACCTAAGAAAGATAGGCATCGACGAGCACCTTAAAAAGGCTTTTGAATTCTTTGATCAAAACAAAAGTGGGTATATAGAGATTGAAGAACTAAGAGATGCTCTGGCTGATGAAGTTGACACAGACAGTGAAGAAGTCATTACTGCCATCATGCATGATGTGGACACAGACAGGGTTAGCCACATTTTCCTGCTTTCTCTTATCTTGTTTCTGATCTTCCTTTTGCCACCTCTTTGTGCTCCATTTAACTGGTAGACATGATGCATGATATCATACTGTTTATTATTAACTGAAATTTGTAGTCCATCATATCCAACTCTTCAGAAAAATTGAGTGCACACAGCTGAATTATCTTTCTTGAACTTGTAGGATGGAAGAATAAGTTACAGCGAGTTTTCTGTGATGATGAAAGCTGGTACAGATTGGAGGAAAGCATCAAGGCAGTATTCACGAGAGCGGTTCAACAATCTAAGTCTAAAATTGCTGAGGGATGGATCATTGCCGATGAGAAATGATAGTGCATAACTCACCAGAGGCACAAGGTAAATGTTTAGAAATGAATAGTTATAAAGAAAAAACGAAATGAATAGTTATACAGAAAAAAGGCTACTTTTTTTGTTTAGCTTTCTAAGGAAAAAAAAAAGCTTATTATAATAGTTTGTGTCTTAGGATTCAATGCAGTTTAGATTTTTAACAGAAGTTTTGTGAGATAAAGTTGTTACTCCTTAAACCCTCTGTGTGCTTGGGAAGTTAAATAATCCAACATTTACAACCCATAATTCAAGAAAATGGGCTTCATTATCCTATTCAATTGGACCTGTTTCCATCTTCTTCTTCTTCTTCTTTTTTTTTTTTTTGCCCTACTCTTTCTTCTGGATTGAATGAGAATGAGAATGAATTAATGTTTTTAAAGGTCATGAAACAATTTTTTTTGAAATTCCTGGGTCTATGATGTGAGCTAATCCTCTCTTCTTCATCACGACTCAAATCTATAATCTTTGAAAATAGAAATTATACTATTATCTTATAAGATCATTTGGGATTAAAGTAGTGTTAGTAGCACACGATGTGAGTGTAAATACAAAATTTATACTCGGTCTAATAAAGGCACACTAAGTGCTAGTTGGACTTAGTAAATGTAGGTGCAACTAGTATTTCTCTTTGCACTATTTTGTGAAATTGACTCAACTAAAAATTTTTGAACTTACTTACATGATTAAGAATATGATGTAATCATCACAATTATTGAGTAATGTGGAAAAATATTGTTGGAACTTGCCATGACATTGCAAGCAAATCCACATGGACCCACCATCCTACAATTATCAAGGGGGCAGATGGTTTTTTCTTCATTCCTTGTGGAGAAGAAAATGAAAGAAACAGCCGTGGGATCTGGGATTTGTCTGACATATTATGTGGAAGTCTGTGGTTTTTACACATTCATGGATGAATGGTTGAGCAGGTTACACGGATATTCCAAAATTGTTTGATTGGTTGTGTGAAATTGTTTGATTTACTTAAGAGGGTTGTTTGCACACACATTTGATTTACTCATGTTGTAACGGGTTGGGGTATCCTTTGTACTCATTTAATAAATTTTTTTTGGTTGATCAAAAAGAGAAAAAATGATTGAGTATGTTCCACTATTACATCATCAAGAATTAAGGATCATGATTAGAACAGGCATGTGATTCTGAGATCAGGTGGATGCCAATTGCTGTGGCACAGCCATACACCTGGAGAGTGATGGAGGCAAGGTGCAGTGGATCAGCCTGACCCATCACAATTTTGGCTTAATTATGTGATGTTGACCGTGTGATTGCATGCATCCCTTTCTAGATCAATCTGTTTTGTGATTGTTTTAATAGAGAGAAAACACATTATAACTTTAAAATCAATTAATTTAAAGTTTCACAGAATTTTATATATTTTATTAAACTCACACACCTGTCACTAATGTAGGATAAAGACTTCACATTCAAAGCCCCTATGTAATGAGAACATGATAAACATGTTTGCCTAGGCTTTTTTAAACAGGGACAAAACATGTTATAACTTTAAAATCGAACAACTAAAAATTAAACGAAGATCAATCTATTTTGTGATGATCATTGAAATGAGATAATTTCTTATTACAAGAGGATGATCAATTGTACAGTAATTTTTCGACTACTTTAGATAATGTTATAATGTTCCCATTTGTCACAATAAAGATGTCAATACCACAAATTCTTTGTGATTTCATTTTAGTTTGGGTATGGTTATGATTAAAAACATCATAATTTTGATTGATTCAGTTTGAGGAAGGTTCAAGAATGGTTAAAAAATATAAAGTATAACATAATGTTGTAGTAGAGTCTTATGTTAATGTTTAATATAAAGTACAATTAAGAGATTCCCAATTCATAACTTAGCTAGGTTGTATGTAGAATCTAAACTAAATCAATTAATTGGAAGCATATTTATAGGACTCAAGCCACATGACCACCTCACATATTGGATTCCAAGTTTCTTTCTTTTGTCATCATTCTTTTGGATCCATCCAAATTTATATTGTTTGCATTTTGCCTTCTTGATGACCAAAATACTCAGAATTCTGAGGTACAGAATATTTTCAAAATGGCAATGCTACAAATATAATGACACTAGTTGTAGAATATGATGCAATGTTAAATAATAGATGCATATAATATCATATGTGATTTAGTTTAAATAAACAAAATTAATAAAAATATAAATAATGATATATGGGTAATTTATTTTTACAATTTTTTTACAATTTCTATATATTTTTTTTTCAAGTTTAGATTGAACAATAAAAAGCAACTCTTTCACATCCCTTAATTTACTTCTTTCACATGTTATGTGATTTAAATTTAAAATTTTTTATTTTCACCAAAAGGAAATTACTATTTAATTACTTAAATCAGTAAAATAATTTTTATATATTATTAAATAAATAGATATATATATCATACCTTATGTTTTAACAAAATAAAAAAAATCAATTATTAAATAAAATGTAAAGTTCTATGATAAACTTATTGATAAAGATTGTTTCAACTCTACATGAGAAACATACCAAGAAAGGTTGTCTCATAATTATTTTCCTATTGGAATACTTTATTTAATTTTAATAAATTTAGTTTTAAATTTAAGATGTTCAAATTTAATTATATACTTTTAAGATATTATTTAATATATTTATTTTTTATTTTATTTTTAATTTAAAAAGATAATTATAAAATATATTAAATAAAATGACTTATTTAAATTGTGTTTAATTAAAAATAAATATAAAATTTAATTAATTAATTATTGTATCTTTTTTTTTTTTGGAATTACAATTAAATGCAATTTTCTTCTATTTATTAATTCAATTCATTCACTACATCACCTAATTCGAATTTAATACTTTTATTTTTATTAAAAAATTATTATTAAACTATTTATATCATTTACTTATTTTAGTTTATTAAATAAAAAAATAATTTATTAAAATTAAATGAATAGAAGAATATAATGCCAAATCATACGGTATAGGAACCATTGTTCACGCCCCATTATATCTGAATTATTTAAAAGATAAAAATACTACGTGGCAAAGATCCACGCTGCCGCAAAATATCATCTTGACCAACCACCTGTAATGCAGATAATGGTTAAAACACAATCCCGTCCTTTCACCATCGGTCGCCACGTAAGATAAAACAAAATTAGGTTGTGTCGTGTCATATGCCACGCACTGGGAGAGCATGATTGACACGTGTTGGAATCAGAGAGGCATGCTTAGTTGGTGCTGACTAAGAATAGCAGTGACGTGGATAAACATTTTTTTAAAATGATTTTGAAACAATCTTTTTATATCACATTTTAATATAACTTAATATATTATTTAAATAATTAATGTTTTTAATTTATATAAAATTTATAATATTAAATATATTTACTTATTTAATAACGTATAAAAATTATATTATAAAATAATATAAAAATTTATCTTTATAGTATCACCCAACTCCCTGAAGTTGGTCCCCACCTCAGGATAAATATTTTCGTCTCTGAAGTCTGAACAAAAGCAAGTGTGAGAGAGGGTACAAAAAAGAGAAGAAAAAATTCAAGTGATTTGAGATAGGAGAATTTGAAAAAGTATCCTACCATCATTGTGTTTTGATTTCACAACATTAATTATTAAATAAGAGTAGGTTCTAGATATTGAGATTTTTTTCATTTAATAATTTATATTTGAGGTAATTTTGGTTTTTTTTAATTATTTTATTTTAAATTAATTATTATCTTTTAACTTTAAATTTATCTTAAATTAATTATCATATTTATATTTTTTAAGATGAATAAATATTTTTTATTTTAATCATGTCATTATTTTTTTAATTTAATTAATTATCTTATAACAAAAGTTGTACTTTATCTTTTAACTCTTTTCTAAAGGCAATATAAATAAATGCATAAATAATTTTTAAATCTTTAATTTGAAAAAAAAAAGGTCAAAAAATAGCAATTATTACCATGTTTTAGGTTAACAAGCTTTTTTATGATTTTTTTAGATAAATTAATTAATTAAAACTCTTATTGCATGTTTGACTTTAAAGAAATGATAGAGAAAAGAAGAGGAATTTTATCCTTACATTTTCCTCCCCTCTTTTTCTTTTATTTAAATAAATTAATAAATTAAGAGAAAAAATAAAAAAAAATTCTTCTCCCATCTCTTGTAATTTTTTTATTATTAAATAAAGAAAAATTCTATCCTCTCCTCCTTTTTTCTCGTCTTCATTCCTTTCTACCCCAACATGTAGTTATAAAAAACTAGAAGAGTAGGGAGGAAAAATTAGATTCAAACACTAAATTCAAATTCTAAACATAGGAACACTGGTGAGGTGTATTTGTTAATAATTTGGCTAAACTATTATAGAGACCCTCCTCTTTTGATTAACAAACTTTAAATAATTCAAATTAAAAACAAAATAAGGGCTTCTTTCCTTTGTCGGAAGAGAAGTTTTTTAAAATGAAAGCTTGAGGTATATATGCACGGATGCTTTTATTGTTTCGTTTGTTTATGTTGTAATGTTTTTATTTTTAATAATTATTAAAAATATATAACATTAATTAAAATGAATAAAAATAAAAATAAATTATTTAAAATTAATTAAAAATATAAAATTTATATTTATAAATAAAGTAACGTTTGAAAAGATATGTAAGAAGATGAAGAAACAAGAACTTATATCTATATCTCTATGATTTGATTAGGGCTGCATAAAGCTATTCTGGGGAAAAGCAATCACAATCTTAATTTGTGGTGATTAATTAGCTTGGAGCTTCCCAGGGCCCGTCTTTGTCTTAATAATTAGAGAAAATGACTTATCTCAATAAATAACTTAATAATGCACTAATAATTTTAGAAAAATTCGTACACATCCTTTTCCTGAGATCGACACCTACATTAATAATTATTTTAATAAATTAGATTCATGCATTGATTTTCATTAATTATAATTATTATGTTATCATATATTCGCGTCCTACCATCATATGCACCTTTATGCTTATCCAAAAAAAGTTTTTGGTGTTAAAAAAAAAAAAAAGTGAAAAGGTTAAGGGTGAATTTTATTCTATGATTTTTAACATACTATTGAAGTGTAATTTATTTTATATAAATTATATTTTTTATAATTATTGATAAAAAAAAGTAAATTT